CATCCATTCAAATTGAGCGTTGGGAGAATGAGAACAGAAAAAAGAAAATCTTTATTTACCCAGCGTGTTGTTAGTCTGTGGAACTCCTTGCCACAAGATGTGATGGCATCTGACCTAGATGCCTTTCAAAGGGGATTGGACAGATTCCTGGAGGAAAAGTCCATCACAGGTTACAAGCCATGGTGGGGATGTTTAATCTCCAGGCTTAAAAGGAAGGCACCTCCAAATTCCAGATGCAGGGGAGGGGTTTCAGGAGACAGGTATCTCATTGTCCCAGGTGCTTCCAGAGGCATCTGGTGGGGCCCCTGTGAGATACCGGAAGCTGGACTAGATGGGCCTTTGGCCTGATCCAGCAGAGATCTCTTCTCATGTTCTTATCCTTACTTTGCCTACCTTATTTATGCCTAATGTCCTTATTGGTTCATGTTATCTCTAATAACCCTATGAGAGAAAGTGTTTGATCTCCCATTTCACTGGTGAGGAACCGATCTCAAGATAGGGTGCCTTGAGTATAAGGATGCCAACCTGCCCAGGTAGGACCTAAGGGGAAAAGTAGCCACAGATGCCACAGGGGAGTAACATCTTCAAGCTCTGATTCACTCTTAACATGCTCTGAAGGAACTGGCAAAAAGAGGGTTAAACAACTCCAAATGCCCTGTTAAATGGTATGTCTGTTGTTTTGGGCTAGAGAGAAGTGGAAAGGAAGGAGAACCACTGCCCGCTTGTTAAGAGACCCTTCACAGCTGGTGGTTTGTGGGAACCAAGGTGGAGCCATCTCCTCTGGTATCACTTCCCTGCCTCACATGGTATGATTAACTGCAAGAAATCTGTTCCAACTGGACCAAGGATGGGGAAAGACTGAGGTGACCAAAGTTACTCTGCAGAAAAGGTACTCCCTTCTCAAAGATTCAGGGTAACTTGGGATTTCATTTGTAGAATGGCATCGAAAGATCAAGAAGGTTGGATGATGGGTTTAAAAGTAGCTCCAGACAATGAATGGAGCAGTTCAGCCTAGTCTCTCTTTGGAGAATGCTATGCTCACCAGTTATTCTGCTGCACTCTGCTTATGCTCTGGAACTATGTTGCTATCTAACTGTTTTGTAAGCACTAGTATAGATTAGCTAGTGTTTCTTGTTCTTTGTGAGAACTCTTCTAGAATTGCCTAGCCTCTTAAATCTTAAATATGGATTTGCTTGACATCTGTTTGATTTTCCTTGATGTTTTGAACCATTATTTCATTTTGAAACATCAATAATCTTTCCAGCAGTCTGGTTATTTCAAGAAGTGAGTGGTTGTGTGGTAACCCTAATAAAATTCCTTATCTTGAGATCCTGAACATCTTGTGGGTATTTTGGTATTCCTATCTTACAAGGCTGGCTTTTGCCTCAATCAAGCAGCCTTGTGACTTCTGTTATCTCCCTGGACAATAAAGGGGCAGCCTCCCAGTGATAGGAGCAGGACTGACAGGAAACTTTCCCTAGCCAGAAGCACACTTGACTTTCTTGGAAAGCACCACACCAGGAATGTCTGGGTCGTGTGGCTATGTGGTTTGTGAGGACCTCTCTATTGGACCAGAATCTTGACACAAGCACAGAGTCCTATCAAAGAAATGCATTTCACAAATTAACAGAAAAGTGAGACTTTTACCTTATCTTTTGCCATCTTCATATGGGACCCCCCGCGTTCACTCATGAGAAGAAAAACAAGAGAACTCAAGTCATCTTTGTCCAGATCTTCATTGATTTCAGACATCAGCACCCTGCAAACACAGAAGCATCATTTGGCCCCTTCAATTAAATTCCATCTCTTCTGCCCTGTTGGTCCAAGTACGTTCTATTCATGTGCAAACTCTCTCCCACATTAAACGGCCAACCACCTAAACAGGTATCTCATGGACCCAGAACAACAAGCCAAAGCCTTAGAACAGTAAGCTGCTGATCTTTTGGACCTCATATCCCATCATTCATGGCTACTGGATGATGGGATATGAGATCCAAAAGATTAGGGACTTACAGGGACTTCATATCAAAACTGCAACCCGTTGTAAAGAATGTTCAGCTAGATAGTCCGGTAGTCTGACTCAGGGTAACACAACATCCCAAGACAGTGATTCACAATTTTCCTACTTTTACTATGTTGTTTGTGAAAACATTTTAGTTTATCTGTCCAGAGGCCAAGGTTCTATTTACATAGAGTAGACATGTTCTACATGGGTGGTAGATACGTCTAATTAAATAAAAAATAAACATATCAACACCAAAAATACAAAGGATTACAACACTTCAATCTGACTTATAGTCTTAAGTAAGTCTCTGGGCACGTTGGCCCGCTGGTGAATGAAACTGTGGGTTAGTTATTAACAGCTTCATTGCATATCCATCAGTTTTACAAGAAATGAAAAAATTATAGTCACTCACTCTCATAGCTCAAATACAGAGACCTAACAGTTTGGAATCAATGGCAGTCACTATTAGAGTAGATCCATTGAACCAATAGATTCTACACAAGTGTAGGCTTATCATTCAACACTAGATTCAGTGGGTCTACTGAGAACTGACAACATGGGGTCCTCCTGGATTTGTTCAAACGCAACTATAACTAGCTCTATCCAGCACAGCCAATGGTGAGTAACGCTAAGTTGCAGTCCAGGAACATCTAGGGGCTGCTTGTAATCCATCCCAGCTCTAGAAGAGCGATAGAAAATGTTGACATTAATCTTTCTTAGTGGATAGGTGCGGATACTGACCAGTCCCTAGTTATGGAATAGGCAGGGAAATGTTGTGAGCTAGAGGGCCACATTCAAGGTCCAAAAAGTCATGGCTGCCTTGGGTCCTTTTAAGGAGTAAGGTGGGGGTAAAGATATTTTAAATAAATAAAACTGGGGTGCTGTATGCCAGTGGCAGATGGAATCAAAGAGCAGGACCAAAAAGCTTAAAGCCCATAATGGCATTAACTAAGCCTTCCTTAGAAGAAACACTTCAACCTTTAGAAGGGGAGAAAAACAGAAAAACCAGGAAGCCACCAAATGGTACAGTTAGTGGAACATTAGAACCACAGACCAACAGGGGATCCCAGTTACTTGAGACTTTCCAAGTATTCCACTGAAACGGTGGGATAACACTATCCCAGCTTGGATAAGCAGGCTATTGGCCTGAGGGACAACCCCTACAAACAAGCCACCAGCTGAACCCAGGAAACAAATGAGCTAAACTCACCTGTATCGGGACACCATTGGAGGACACCTGGCCAAGCTGCTTTCCACAGCTGCTCTCCCCATGTTCAGGAGCTTCTTCAGCAAGTCAAACCTTTTTACTCTGTACAACAGTTCAGGCAAGCCCAAAGGGGCCAGCATCTCCTTCTCATTCAGAGCCACAAAGAGCTTCCTCACATCCATCTCGGATCCTTCGGGAATGAGGTCCCGGCACAAGAAGAGCATGGTTTCTTTTTCATCCAGGTCCAGTTCCTGCTCAATCTGGTGAAGGAGGGCAGCTGGCACTCGGTAAGCTGTCATCACAGTTGAGGTCCCTTTCAGATTGTCCGTGTGGTTTAAGCAGCCATGTCACGGGGGCTTGTCCTGGTCTGATCTTCGGTTGCTTCGCTTTGTTTCCCTTTGGGTTTCTGATGAATTAAGACAAGATCTCTATGATGACACAATATGAGATCATGCCCAGAAAAGTTCAGCACCATCACTGAGCCTAGTAGCTATTCACTGGCAACACGATTACGAGGTTAAGTTCCACAATCAGACTGTGCACATGTTCAGGAACAGAATGCTCTTCTCTTGCTGACACAAGGCTCCGACTGAATGAATGAAAAACAGAATTCCCCATTTACTGCAAAGATCTCTTATTCACACAACTTGGAATGTCCAATTAGGGAAATGAAACTAAAACAAGACAAAAGTACACAGTAAAAAGAGAGAGAGAAAGAGAGAGAGAAGTCACACGCAGTCAGCTACTCCCACACAATAGTTTCACTAAAATTATTACTTAGTCTTTCGTAAAATTCTGAAACTGAACTTTTGCCCAAAATGCCTCAGAATATTTAGACTTCACATTGTTACATGCTATTATTTCTGATTTACAGTGGCTGACAGGGTTTTTCAGAAATTTGAGCTATTAAAGGAATTGTTTCACCAGCCCTACTCTTCAGTGAGTTTCCATGGGGATTTGAACTCAAGTCTTCTAAGTCACAGTCCAACACCCCATCCATTCTGGTACTCAAAACACTGTTAAAATTATTACTAACAAAAAAACAATTTATCATTTGTATGCTTACTAGTTTAAAATTATTTTTATTCCACCTTTAGGTAGAATCCTCCCAGGCAGCCTACCGAATTAAAGAAAAAATACAGTAATAAAATCAATTTACAAGTTATGAACATACTAAACGTCCTCAATAAATTTTTAACGTTTTAAGAATTGTTTTAATACTGTATATGATATTTTATATTGTCTTTTAAAATGTTTTTAATGTTTTTAACTTTTACTGTTGTACGCCGCCCAGAAGCCACTGGTAATGGTGCAGCTAAAAATATTGTAAATACTGTAAATAAATAAATAAATAATAAAGTACTGTAATTAAAATCCAGTCTGCAAACACAAAATTACAACTAGAGAAATTAGTTCAAATTATTCAAGCAAAACCAAAAAAAGTCATAAATACTTCTGAACATTTTATACACTATCCAGTTGTGATCTGCTCTATAACATTACAAATCAAGTTTATATTATTTTCCCAAATTTTACAGATGCAGGAGTGGAACTAAAAGGAACAGAGTGGCTTGCTTAAAGCTACCCAATGAGTTGTCATGGCAGACGCATGATCTCAGTGAGGCATTTCCCAATTCACAATCGCTCGAGTTTCTTCCGGGGCAACCCCTGGCCCAAGTAGGGTGGCCCCTTGTTGAGCCCATGCCTGGTGATTCTCTTAGCCCCTAAAAATGACAGAACCTGTAATAATCCTCCTTGAAGAAAGAAATCTCACTGTGTCTTCAATATTATTATCACAGAAACTACCGTCCCTTACCGTATTTGTTGCCAGGGACTTCAAAAATTGTCACCATGTATAGCATCACACACACTCCTTGCAAACACAGGTACAGGTGCTACTGAAAATCCCTTTAAATCATGCTTAAAAATACACCACCCAAGAGGTAAGTGCTTTAAAGTTTAAAAGGCTTTGGCATACAACATTAGCTTTGTGCCAAAAATAAAATAGTAGTCCTCCTGTGGCGCAGGACTGTAGTGCCCCAGGCTCCCTAAGGAGCACTTAGCACTCGGTCAGAGAGTTCGACAGGCCACTTACCTACCCCATTTGCGCTGAGGCAAGTCCTAAGACCTCAGCAGTGCGTAGCGTAGCCCTTTGAACAAGTCTGACCTTAAAAGAACACTTTACTTGTAACCAGTACTTTGCAAGTACAGACACATGGGCTTTGTGATTCCTTATAACTCACAACAGCTCAGTTAGGTAGGACTCTTGATAGCTAGTTTGTGGCCCTGTCCACTCCCTGGATGTAGCCAGACCCTGCTGTTCAAGAGACCAGTCTTTTGTAAGGATTTTTATAATTTATTTTTATTAGAAAAATAGAGCTTCATAGAATCAGTTTATATTCCCCATTAAAATAATAAACACTATTAAGCTGGGCTAAGGTGGGCTAGCCCCACCTCCTTCTTTCTCTCCACTTACATTCTTTCTCCTTCAAGCCACATACTCAAACCATCAAGTTCTTTTTCTCTCCCATCATCATGGAATAGAACTTCTGAACTTCTCCCATATAACCCCTCATCCATTTTCTACATCCTCTAACTCCTGCCTTCTTCCTGACACTTCACGGCTGTTAACCAATTAGCCTTGTTGGGCTATAACATCTTCCTCCTCCCTCAATTCCCATGAAAATCCAGACGTTTTATCTCTTTTCCAATTAGCTCAGAATGTTGAGTCTTCCAGGGGCTCCTTGTCCGATCTTTAGCTTTATCTCGAACCACACTGTACTGGTCGTCAGAAAAACACTCTCATAGCACTTAGAAAAACACATCCCAATGTCTCACAAATCATCTTCACACAATACCTGTCTGACTCCATCTTACATTTCTCTTGACTACATATCCCATACTGCTTCAACTCCATCACAAGGACAATAAATACAAATCAGAAAGGTTGGGCCTCATGTGATCCACCTTTGGAAGGGAAAAAATCGTACATATTGCCCATAGCTTCTCTTCCAATGCTCTGCATGCCACATACCCACCCCCTGCCAAATTTCCATATGCAGAGATATGTAGAGATTTCCATTCCTCTGTGCTATTGGTGTTGGATATGAGGTAGAGGCCCTTGGAGACACCCCCCCCTCTTGCAGACATCTGTCTTACATGCATGTATGTCAGGGGAAGGGATTATGCCAGATTCCTGGTACAACAGGCAGACTTTGTTGATACAGGTGGGCTCATATGCTTGACTAAACTGGGCTGTGGACCTCCACACATTGTTAAGAGTACAATTCCCTTCATTCCCCATCATCAGCTGTCCTGGCTAAAGTGGATCCCCTAACTGGAGAGTCCCTATTTTGGACCATATAGTATATATTTTAACCTGGCGTACTGCCAGACGCATGTGGTAAGATTAGGAAAATTAGGAAAAAAGCCTGGAATCCTTCAATGATACAGGGCACCGTTCTTTGGAGATCTGAGACAAGGCAGTCAACTGGCTCACTGGCAGAAGCTCATATGCTGCTTGCCTCCATCCATGTGTTACTGGCATATTCAAAACTGAGCCCATCACTGAGAAAACTATGACAACCTTCAACACATCTGCCAAACCAAGGGAACATTATTCTGCCCTTCTCTGCTTTCGGGTGAACGAGGATCAAGATAACATTAAAAGAACGGGGTACTGAAGTCTGGTGAAGATTAAATCACAACACGTGAGATATGTGTTTAAGTGTTAAAAGAATCAGATTTTTCACGAAGAAATTGAAGACAGCGGCTAGCACAGAGCTGGGAAACCTATGGTCCTCCTGACATTGCTCAACTCCAGTTCCCATTGGCTGTAGCCAACCTGGCTAAGAGTGAGGCATGATGGAACTTTGACAGCTCAGTTTCCCCCCCTCCCCCTCTGGTCTCACTGACAGTGAGCAAAGATCTTAGGAATGATCAGATCCAAGTCAAAGCAAGGGCAGGGGATATCTCTATCAGAGCATTTAAAAATTCAAAGAAATAAAAAAAAATAAGTTTAGACTTATGCTAGTGTTCATCAGGTTTGGAGGATCATAATCAGCAGAATGAGAACAAAGATCTTGGTGGTAAGTAAAGGACTGAAACAATGGCTGAGACCATGCTGCTTTGCATAAGCCAAATTATGACTTTTGATCTGTTCCTTCTGATAAACAAAGCATCCCCACCACAATTCACGGGGGTGCACATACAGACACCAAGGCAGCATGTGCGTCATTAAGAATCACAGCGAGCCCGTTTGTTTCCCTAGGAGGAACACACTGGAAGTTATCATTTGGCTTACACTAAGCAACAAGGTTTCAGCCAGTGAATCTCTGAAGGTGTGGAACTGCAGGAAATAGAACAACAAATAAGCAGAGTGAGGATCGGAACTAGATAAGGGACTGTAAGAAGGAACAAGCTGGGACCATCAAGGAGAAGGGTGAGCCGTCCCCTCAATCGTCTGCTATGTATAGAAGACTATGAGACTGTTTACACCCACCATCAGACAGTCCAAAAAAAACTTTATTGCTAGAGCGGAAAAACTATTCCAGTTTTGTTTTTGTTTTTTTTACTGTGGGTTCTCTTACACATCAGAATAAATAAAGGTAAAGTTGAATCTCTGTATGAATGGACACAACTTTTAATTTAAAGACTCATGGTTTAATAAAATGCGCATGTATTTTCTTGTTCTGCAGAATGTATTCTTCTTCATTAACAGTGAGATCTTATATATGTTCATTTATAAGTAAGCCTCAACACATTCAGTGGAGCTTAGCCCCATTAAATGCATTGAGATTGCCTTAGAACCTTATCTAACATCATTGGCTGGCTGTAATATTTTTGTTAGAACATCAGAACAGCAATAAACTAAAACTGGGAAGAAATATGTTCAGTTCCACAAATTTAGTGCTCCTAACTGGAACAAACATTAGACCTGTGTTTGATTTTTAAAGGGTATCGAAGCAGCCAAGATACTAATCCTTCCATTTACTTGTTTTGCAGTGTTCTTGTTAGGTACCGCCAAGGTACATCTGGCATGTGGTGACTCTAATCGGGGTTTTTATGTATGTGAGATGATCAACTAATGGTTTGGTATTTCCACTCACTACAAATCCCATGAATTTGAACCCAGATCTCCTGAATGTATCCGTTACATTGGCTCTCACTTTTGTAGATTAGTGCATGCTTAAATGGATTCAACAGATTCACAGGGCTAGCTAGGGTTCCACTAAATCTATGATGGTTAAAAAAAAAACTTTGTAGAGGATCCTGTTCTAATAAGATACACATTTATGCTCTCCAGTCCTTCCATATTTTCCCAGCTCCTAGATGCACAAAGATATTTTTGCAATTGGATGTTACACCTATCATTTCCCCTTTCACATAATTATCCACCTACGCAATTCATCCCTGCACTGTATAGCTGGAACAAAGGAAGAGACCCACATTCAGTCCACAAGGCAACACACTGAAGTTGCCTCATCAAAAATAAGTTTCTATATAGAAATCTAAAGAAGGCTGCGGTTCCATACGCACATACCTAGCAACAAGCCAAACTGAACTCAATGGGGTTTAATGTATTCGCGA